AAGGCAAGGGCTCTACCACTGAGCCACCTTCCCAGCCCTCTAGTGACACTTTTTCTGATCATCATATGTATAAAAAACTTCAACGCTTGCCTCTTCTCTACAACATGTTGCATCTTTCTTTTTAAAATGTACTTTCCAATGCTCCTCTTTACCTGTATTCCATTTTAGTATATGTTTTTGTGTATTTATCTTGCATCTTGCCTCATCCCTGCACAGGGTGCAGGACTCTGGACCACAGTAAGTAGTTGAAACTTTCACCTAATGGTGCCAGACAGCGTGTGAAGAGTTGTAGCAGAGAATGGCTGTGGTGGGTCCGCATTTGGCAGGAGCACCTGGCAGAAGCATCAGAACCAATTAGAGATGGGCAGAGTGGGTCTGGGGACCTAGAAAGGACTGCAGAGTTCTGGTGAGAAGCAATGACTGTGCGCTTTGTCTTTGTTGCTCATTACTATATTTTCAGTGCCTAGAACAGCCTTGAAAGGCATTATGACCTTATACACATACTTTTGGATATTACTTCATCTCCTTAGCATAAATTCCTAAAATTTTCTGCGCTAGATTTGATGCACATTTCTAAACTAACTTGGTAACAAAGGTAAAATATTTCACACATCAGTGTGAGTTAATCGTTGTTTATCTACTTTTTTCCAGCATGACTTTTTCAATGTTGCTCACATATATCAAGCTGATAGATAAAACCCAATCTCGTATTCATATCTCTGAGCACTAATTTGACAACTTTGTCTACCTTTTTTTTGGGGGGGGGTCCGGTCATGGGGACTGAACTCTGGGCCTGGGCGCTGTCCCTCAGCTCTTCAGCTCAAGGCTAGCGCTCTACCACTTGAGCCACAGCGCCACTTCCAGCTTTTTTTCTTTTTTGCTTATATGGTGCTGAGGAATTGAACCCAGGGCCTCAGGCATGCAAGGCAAGCGCTCTACCACTGAGCCACCTTCCCAGCCCTTTGTCTACCTTTACTAGGAATTTAAGTTTCTTACATTGCACATTTTCCCTGCCCATGTTTTGGTTATGTATCCTTTTTATTATTTTGTAAGAACTCTTGACAAAGCAGTGTAAAAGAAACAGGAAGGGCCTCAATTGGTCTTTCAAGTCTTGCAGGTAGAGTTCAAATCCTGCTTCATACTCTTGGGTACATGACCCTCCTCTGGTTACTTTCCATGTCTGTTTCTCTGTGATGTTCATTGAACCTATTTCGTAGAATGGCCTATGACATGAAACATGCATATTACACACTATCTATATACTATCCTACCTTTTTTAAATGTGTTTGGATATTTTTTCTCAACTCATCATTTCTTTACTAATATTATTTATGGTGTTTTTCTCTGGTCAAGTGGAAGTTTTATGCTTATATTAGTAGTCAAATCCATCCATTTCTCCACCCCCTCCTTTTGATACTGAGTTGCTGTCTTGCCAAGAAAGACCTCTTCTCAAGTAAATAATGCCAGTTGGGACCCTCTACCTTTCAAGTACCTGAAAAGCAAGCTTCAGGTGAGGCTGACAAAATGGTATCACCAAAGAATTGGGGTCTCTGACTCTTCTCTACCTTTCATGGTTAGAGTCATCCCAAGAATATATCTGATGTGCCCATTCTGTTAGCATCCTTGGCTAAGACGTGGGCTGGACTATTCAATGGGTTTAAGTCTCATTGAAACAACCTAATAGGCTAACTGGGAAAGTTCTCAAAAGGAAAGCTGCAATTAGTATGCCCCAGAGATCACAGGATGGAACACTAAGCAAGGAATGGCATACGTCACTGCTAGCACTCTGGTGGTTGCCTTTCTAGATTTTGCTTCATCTGGGCATCTATAAATTTTGATGCAAGAAATGATCCAAGCTGGGCATGATGAAACATGTTTGTAATCCCAGCATTTAAAAGGTTGAGGCAGGAAGATCAAGAGTTCCAAGATAGCATGATTTACATAAGAAGTTCCTAAGTAGCCTGAGCTACACAGCAAGTAGGTCAGGCGCTGGTGGCTCACGCCTATCATCCTAGCTACTCAGGAGGCTGAGATCTGAGGATCATGGTTCAAAGCCAGCCAAGGCAGGACAGTCTGTGAGACTCTTATCTCCAATAAACCATTCAGAAAACTAGAAGTGGCGCTGTGGCTCAAAGAAGGAGCACGCTAGCCTTGAGTGAAAGGGACAGCGCCCAGGCCCAGAGTTCAAGTCCCATGACCGACAAAAAATAAAATCAGTAAATAAGTAGGGAAAGAAAAATAAAGAGTGAAATGAACAACCCATTTGTTTATGGTTTCTAAAGGATTAGACAATTTTCATACCCCACCTTTTTTTTTTTGCTTATTTACCACCTTGATTATAAGGTGGTAACAGTTTTAATTTAAATGCTTTCTTGGGGGGGAGGAGGTTCTCCTCTTACTGGCTATACATTTACCCCTTACCAAAATGTTGTACTTACAGAATAAACGACTGGAGGAAGTGAAAAGAGAAGAGAGAGACTTACTGGAGGCCCAGTCTGTTCCCTTAAGAAACTATCTAATGACGTATGTCATGCCAACCCTTATGCAGGGTCTCAATGAGTGCTGTAAGGTTAGACCTGATGATCCTGTTGATTTCCTGGTAAGATTTAATTTTTTAACAAATAATAATTTGGGGCTAGGAATGTGGCTCAGTGGTAGAATGCTTGCCTAGCATGCAGGAAGCCCTGGGTTCGATTCCTAAGTACCATATAAACAGAAAAATTGGCGCTGTGGCTCAAGTGGTAGAGTGCTAGCCTTGAGCCAAAGAAGCTCAGGGACAGTGCCCAGGCTCAGAGTTCAAGCCCCAGGACTGGAAAAAAAAATAATTTGAAGGCAGGCATTGGTATCTCAGGCCTAAATCCTAGCTACTTAGAAGGCTGAGATCTGAGGATCATAGTTTGAAGCCAGCTGGGGTAGGAAAGGCTGTAAGACTCTTATCTCTAATTAACTACCTAAATATCAGAAGTGCTGTTGTGCCTCTAAGTGGTTTAGCACTAGCCTTGAGCAAAAAAAAAGCTCAAGGACAGTGCCCAAGCGGAGTTCAAACCCTACGACCAACAACAACAAAAAATAGAATAATAGTAATTTGAAGCCAGGCATCAGTGGCTCATGCCTGTAATTCTAGCTACTCAGGAGGTGGAGATTTGAGCATCGTGGTTCAAAGCCAGTCTGGAGGGACTGTTTCACTTCAGGTTTTTTTGGTGGCTAACTGGAGATAAGAATCTCAATGCCTGGGGCTAGGAAGGTGGCTCAGTGGTAGAGCGCTTGCCTTGCATGCCTGAGGCCCTAGGTTTGATTCCCCAGCACCACATAAGCAAAAAGAAAAAAGCTAGAAGTGGCACTATGGCTCAAGTGGTAGAGCACTGGCCTTGAGCTGAAGAGCTGAGGGACAGCGCCCAGGTCCAGAGCTCAAGCCCCACAACCGGACCCCCCCCCCCAAAAAAAAAAGAATCTCAATGCCCCAGCTGGCTTTGAACCATGGCCCTCAGATCTCCTCTACCTCCTAAGTAGCTAGGATAACAGCCTTGAGCCACCAGTGCCCAGCTTCACTTATTCTCCTCCTCCTTCTCCTCCTCCTTCTCCTCCTTCTCCTCCTTCTTCTCCTCCTTCTCCTTCTTCTCCTTCCTCCTTCCCCTCCTCCTCCTCCTCCTCGCCCTCCTCCTTTGTCTCCTTTTTTTTTTGACAGTCCTAGGGCTTGAACTCAGGGCCTAAGCACTATCCCTGAGCTTTTTTTGCTCGAGGCTAGCGCTACCACTTGAGCCATGGTGCCACTTCTGGCTTAGCTTCACTTATTCTTATGAGATCTTTATTGTTCATTTAGAACCAAATAAATCTTCCTTTATTTTTAAATTGTAAACATAAATAGTAAAAATATGAACAGTAATGCATTGTAAATTGTTGACTCTTTCTCTTTTAATTGTAGGCAGAATATCTCTTCAAACACAACCCTGACATGCAGTAAAATGTCAGAGATCTATATTGTGTATAGATAGAGTTCAACTTACTGTTGTAATTTGAAAAGTCACTTAAAAGGTTTTTGTTGATATTTTTCTTGTATGCAAACATAAAGTAGAATTATTAATTCTGTAAAGTAGGATTACTGTAACAAACTACATAGCAATAAGTGACTGCTTCATTAAAACTTTATTTGAGAAGAGAATTGACAAGGCATATTATGTTCATGGCCCATACATAGTAATTTAAGAGTTCATCTGGAGATTTTTCTAAGTATTCTGCTCCTACATGTTCATGTTTATAGTAATCTGATTTTTAGCATGAAGAAGACTAGGCTATGTATTCTTTCAACTGATAATGATTTTACACAGACTTCTATGGAACTAATACCAACAGTGTTAGAAATGGAAATAAATTTCAGTGGTACATCCTGGAAATGGAAATAAATCTCAGTGGTGCATGTTAGAAATGGAAATAAATTTCAGTGGTGCATGTTTTGTCAAATCAAAGCTAGTCAGAGGGGCTGGGAAGGTGGCTTAGTGGTAGAGTGCTTGCCTAGCATGCATAAAGCCCTGGGTTTGATTCCTAAGTACCATATAAACAGAAAAGGCCAGAAGTGGTACTGGGGTTCAAGTGGTGGAGTGCTACCCTTGACCAAAAGAGCACCTCAGGGGCCAGTGCCCAGGCTGAGTTCAAGCCCCAGGACTGGCAAAAAACAAACAAAAACAAAGCTAGTCAGCTACTACAGTTTCTGTAAAGCTGCTTTTGAGGTCAGATTCTGGTGAATGAGTCAGAAGGATAAGCCGGTGGGGTGAAACACTAATATCTGTGCTAATTGAAGTGTTGGGTTTTTGTTTTGTTTTGTTTTGTTTTTCGGTCCTGGGGCTTGAACTCTGGGCCTGGTCACTGTCCCTGAGCTTATATGTTCAAGGCTAGTGCTCTACCAATTGAACCATAGCTCCACTTCCGGCCTTTTCTGTAGTTTAGTGGAGATGATCTCATGGACTTTCCTGCCCAGGCTGGCTTTCAACTGTGGCTCACAGCCTCCTGAGTAGCTAGGATTACAGGTGTGAGGCACATGTATGCAGCGTCACTGATCATTTTTAAAAATAGACTTTTTGGGAAATAAAAATGGCAAAGAAACACATGAGGAAATGTTCATCATCCCTGGTGGTGAAGGAAATGCAAATAAAGACAACCCTGAGATACCACCTTACCCCAGTCAGAATGTCCCACATCCACAAATCAGCCAACGACAAATGCTGGAGGGGATGTGGAGAAAGAGGAACCCTATTACACTGCTGGTGGGAATGTACACTTATACAACCACTTTGGAAAGCAGTCTGGAGGGTCCTTAGAAAGCTAAAGATTGACCTCCCTTACGACCCAGTCATACCACTTCTAGGCATCTACCCTGAACAACAGGAACCAATATACAAGGACACGTGCACCTCCATGTTTATTGCAGCACTGTTCACAATAGCTAGGATATGGAAACAACCCAGATGCCCCACCACAGATGAATGGATCCAAAAATTGTGGTATCTATACACAATGGAATATTATGCAGCCATTAGAAATGACAAAATAATGGCATTTGCAGGGAAATGGATGGAGCTAGAAGGAATCATGTTGAGCGAGGTAAGCCAAGAGCGAAGAGACAAACGGTACATGGTCTCCCTGATAAGTGGATGATAAATCCAAAATGTTAGGTGATACGACAAAACTAACAGGACTTAAGAAACAAAGAACTCCTGCTCATCTGGTTGAACCACTACTAAATATCCCCACGCTGCTGATCACATGTATGGTGTATAACATGTGAACACTGTTATATATTACAGACTGTGATAGACAATTTGTTCCAGGAAAGTTAGAATGAACTTGTGACTTAGAAACTATGTAATCACTTAATCACAATCAAAAAAAAAAAAAAAAAAAACTTCGGGGAAGGGGGGGGGGAGGGGGATGGTAGGGGGAAAACAATGGAGGGGCTAACAATGTTCAAGAGGAAGTGTACTCATTACCTCACTCATGTAACTGTAACCCTCTGTATAGTATCTTTACAATAAAAAAAAAAAAACTTAAAAAAAAAATAGACTTTTTGGAAGGTAAGCAAATACAATCATTGCGTTAACATATATTATGTGAAAATTGAACAATGTAACTTGGGAATGGGAGGGATAGGATGAGGAAAGGTGGAGGGAGCACACCGAAAGGGGTGACATTGATCCAGATACATTGTACTTATAACTTGACATGTGGAATTGAAATCCCTTTATTCATCTACTCAATACGAAAAAAGTATTTGTTTTGAATTCTTTGGTATTTCAGCGATATGTCTGGATTCAATATTGAGGAGTTACAAGTTTTGAAGGAGTCACCTTTTTCATATTTCTTGGGTTTCTAGTTTGTCTTCTTCATATCTATTAGGATGGATATCTCTTCCAAAATCTTCTCCTGAATCCAATCTTAAGTACCACTCTTAGGTGAGAAAACAAACCAGCATAAAAGAAGCAATTGCATCCTGTTAGAAGCTTCCTTTCTTGGTGTACAAGGAGCCACTCATGGTAGCAAAGAGCTTTTCAGCCTATTAGCTTGCCATATGCACCCATTGCTTCCCAGGCATGCCAGTTTGTGCCCCCTGGAGATACAGGGGTCCAAGCCTAGGTGTGTTCTCTGACTGCATCAGAGAATGGAGGAAGCAAATACATTAGTGATTCTGCACTTATGGTTGTGACTTTGGCTTCCCCTTTCTCCTCCTCCCTGAGGCGCTAGACTAGAAGTTATGGACTGTTTCTATTTTTCTCTCCTTGCTTTTTTTCTCCATGCTTTTCAGAATTCTGTCCCCCTCCCCTTTTGTTTTGTAGGTCGTGGGGCTTGAACTCTGTGCCTGGGCACTGTCCCTCAGCTCTTCAGCTCAAGGCAAGTGCTCTACCACTTGAGCCATAGCGCCACTTCCGGTTTTCTAGCAGTTTATTGGAGATAAGAATCTCACAAACTTTCCTGCCCAGGCTGGCTTTGAACCGAGATCCTCAGATCTCAGCCTCCTGAGTAGCTAGGATTACAGGCGTGAGCCACCGGCGCCCAGCAAGGTATAGCCCAGGCTGGTCTCAAACTCGAGATCCTCCTGCCTCATCCTCCTTGTTGATTACTGGCATGCACCACCTCAGCCAGCTCTGTCCCTTTTAAATAATTACCAATGCTTCCTCTCTTTGGAAGTATCTCCTATGTTAGCTTAACCCTTCTTATTCAGATATACAGGGGAAGTGTCTAATCTATCTTGACACTTCAGTGTATCCCCTCCCTCCCTCTCCTCCTTCCTTCCTTCCTTCCTTCCTTCCTTCCTTCCTTCCTTTCTCCTCCCCCCCCCCCTGCATTTCTTGCTAGGCAAGTGATCTACTACTTGACCATAGCCTCCCACCCCCAGTCCATTTGCTTTTAGTTTGTTCTTCAGATAGGGTCTCATACTTTTGCTCAGGTAAGTGTTGGATCATGATTCTCCTATCTCTGCCTCCCAAGTAGCTAGAACTATGTATATACTGTTTGTTTGTTTTTTTTTGAGTCCAGTCATGGGGCCTGAACTCTGGGCCTGGGCGCTGTCCCTCAGCTCTTCAGTTCAAGGCTAGCGCTCTACCACTTGAGTCACAGCACCACTTCCAGCTTTTTTCTTTTTTTGCTTATATGGTGCTGAGGAATCGAACCCAGGGCCTCATGCATGCAAGGCAAGC